AGACAAATGCTAAATTTAAATGCAGTAACAGATGCTGAGCGACTTTGACAAGCCACAAACCATTGCAGCAAGCTCTTTGAATGTTGTATTCCTTTTGCAGTCAGAATTGTTGAGGATAACTAGAAAATTGTATGCATTTGGGACAGTTTCTCTTAGCAGAATTATTTTTAGCATAAAACATATTTTCACTTGTTAGTTGCCATATAATCTGCATTGGGCAGAATGGTTTGTTTTATGTTTCAAGCGCTGATTGTCTACTACATAAAAGCTGTGCCTACACAGTACTCGTACAACTTGTTGAAAAGTGAAATGATTAGTCAGTTATTAAGTTCCTGTTTCTCCATAAAACCAGATATTCTATTTGATTTTTATCATCTGCTGAAACTAGTGTTATTGACCTGTTGTTGGAGAATCATGTCACAGCTAAAACCTTTAGATATTTCTAAAGGATTTAACAACTCTATCATTATGTTAAAGGTTTGCAGGAATCATAAAGGCCTTAAAAATGATTTTGAAAATTCGAGTTTTTTTCTAAGCTAATATATATATATAAGTAGAGTTGCTAGATAAAATAAGAGAGATGCCCATTTAAATTTGCATTTTAGATAATCAACAGATTAGTATTTAGTATAAATATATCTCAAGTATTGCATGGGTTATACTTATACTACAAAATTTTTCATTTATCTGAAATTCAGATTTTACTAGGTAGCCTATATTTTTATTTGCTAATTCTGGCAGTCTTATACTGATACAGAATTTAAGAAACCCCCCAAAAAATGAAGTGCAAAATAAGTTTCTCTTTATGTCCTTCAGCCCCTCACATCCCACTATTAGTCTTGGAAAGCTTGCAAAAATAGGCCATACTTTTAATAAACATGCATATATTAATTTTACTTACACATTTCTTCCCTCCCTGTAGAGATTTAATACATTGCCCTGCACTTTCTTTTTTTCATTTAACAATATATTTCCACCATACGATTTTTTCAAGACAATATGGAAAATGTGGGGTAATGTGATAGAAGCATGAGAAGAAATCAGGCAGAGTTGGATTCATATGTAAGTTCTCCAGCTTGCTGGCTAGATGTGTGGCCTTGAGTAATACCTCAGCCTCCCTTTCCTCTGCTGTCTTATCTGGAAAATGGAGAGAATGTGCCAGGCAGTGGAGGATACTGTGGAGAGCAAGATGGTTGGGGTTCTTGCTCCCGTGGTGTCACATGTATATGTAGAGTGCTGGGTCTGTAGTTCCTAATAGGTACTGAATTAATTGAGTCATCATTGATATGTCTTGTAGTCCTGAGCGCCATGGCTACTGAAACAGGTTCAGTTATCACCAAGTAGTGATATGGCTACAAGCACAATACATCAACAGCAGCTGGAAGAGAACTGGCATTTTCTGTACTATTTGAATATGCTTATTTTCATTGCATTGAGGGAGTTTTACCTTGAAATGTAACAGCCATGTTTTTTAATGTACTTTAAATATTAATAAAAGGTTTATATTAATTTAATTTAATTTTTTTATATCTATTGATTTCAGAGAGAGGAAAGGAGAGGGAGAGAGAGAGAAACATCAATGATGAGAGAGTCATTGATCGAGCCCACAACCCGGGCATGTGCCCTGACTGGGAATCGAACCCTGATCACCTGGATCCTAGGTTGACGCTCAACCTCTGAGCCATGCCCGGCCTTGCTATTATTAATTTTAAGTGATTTGTCTAAACAGATTACTGCTCTTTGATCTATCTACCATAGTTTCTAAAATATTTAATTCTGACTTTGTATCTTCTATGGATTGTTGTGGCTATGTTGCGTTGTTGACACCACTCCATTCAGATTTCATTCACTTTGGTTCCCTAGAGTTTATATATGTTGTCTCCCTATTTCTCCCTTTAGTTTCTCCTTGTGCAGGGCAAGGTGTACACAGTTTTGAACTTGGGACGAGGAATGAGAATGGTAAGGTGAATCTTCTTCCTGACAAGGGGCAGGATATTGGAGAAGTTAAATTATTAGCTCTGGAGCCAGACTTCCTGGATTCAAATCCCGGCTCCATCACTTACTAGTAGTATGACCTTGGGCCCCAGTTTCCTCACCGGAGTAGATTGAGGATTAAAGGACTTAATTGTATAGCATGCTTTGAAGAGTGCACACTACGTGGTAGGTGCTGTTTACTGTTGTTATTCCTTCTGCTCCAGCATTGGTATTGGTTACTTTGTTGGTGTATCCGCATCTCATTGCTTCTCTTTACTGCCCCTGATTTATCATCCTCACTGGTCACGTGAATGCTCAGAAAAATCCTCAGAACTTGGCATTCTTCTGACATGTATTGCATCTTTTTTAAGTCTTACCCATTGGCTATGACCTACTGTTACCACTCAGATACCCGTCTGCTTCCACATAGTGTTGAGATGGGTAATGAGGGGAGGGGTGAGAAGGAGAATTCATGTCTGCAGTTTGATGGGAGTGGACTCCATCTCTGCATCTCAAAAATCCTGTAGTTACAAATGAGTTTCTTTATACTTAGAACCGGGTTCTTGGGATAGGGGTATAGGACATAGAATGGGATACATTTTTTAAATTGCTTGTCTCTGTCATGGTTACTAATGGTGAAATCTGGAAAACCCACAAAAAAAGCCATGTATTTATTTGAGGGACATCAGAGCAGAGAAGACAAACTGAAACTAATTTTCTATCCGTGAAATCCAGATCTTATCTGGGCACTAATGTCAGTGACTTGTAGCTTGAGCCTTTAAAAAAAACCTTTATGATAATAAGAATTTATATTTAAAAAACGGGAATTCTTTTTTCACATAACTGACTCATAGGTGAACTCTTGGATGGCAATGGTTTTCTCAGTTGGGAACTGCCTACTCTATGCTTTCTCTGAGGACTCCTAAATCAGTGGGCCTCTAAATTCATAGGGTGCCTCCCCCTCCACCACATGCCCATACTGCCTGTCTTTCTGAGTTAATATTTTATAAGGGAAAGAGGGTAGAAGCAAATTTTATTGTGTATACCAAGCACTCATGTATATAATTTTACCTTTTCCAAACTTTTTGAAGATCATTCATGTGTAATTAGAGATTTTCAAGTTCAGAGAGGATAGGTAAGTGATTTAAACTTATAGTGAGTAAGTGGTCAAGCTGAAATCATCAGACTTCCTGAACCATGTTCTTTCATTGCTACCATTCTTCTGCTTGGGCAATTTAATTAAATATACCTATGTAGGCCTGGCCTTCCTTATGTTGGGGTATCTTTACTTTTGCTTTTTAATTGTCAGAAGTTAATAATTTTTTTGAGGGGGAAAGACCTGATTGTATGCTATTTTATGAAAGAATATTATAGTCTCCTTGTCGGTACGAATAAAAAATATGACTGTTTTATTTTTAAGATCTCCCTGTATTTTTCCTCATGAAACCATGCAATACCTGGTATTGAAATGCTTATCTATATGGGCTCACCATTAATTCTGAGTATATATTTTAGAGTTGTGATTTATGTAGTGATCTGAAAATTGGTATATTTTATGTATCTCATTTATCATAATATACCCAATGAGTAAATATGTTTTCTAGGAAACTAAGGTTCAGATGCTAGGCCCCTTGCTCAAGGCCACACTGCTATTTAGGTTTCAATTCCAGGTTAGAGCCAATGCCTTCCCATTGTGACACCAGGGCACTTTTAAAAACAAGTGCCAGTGGGGCTATTTGTTTGAAATGGAGTGATATTTTATTTTATTTTATTTATTTATTTTAAATATATCTTTATTGATTTCAGAGAGAGGAAAGGAGAGGGAGAGAGAGGTAGAAACATCATCGAGCCCACAGCCTGGGCATGTGCCCTGACCGGGAATCAAACCCTGATCGCCTGGATCCTAGGTCGATGCTCAACCGCTGAGCCACGCCTGGCCAGGCTGTAGTGATATTTTAAATAGTATATTCTAAGTTGAGATAAGGAAAGTCAATAAGTACTGTTCTCTGTTGTTGCACAGAGTTAATTGCAGACATTGATGGTCTGTGCATGTGTTCATATACATTACACACTTCTATTTCTTCCAAATGCATTTTCTCTTAACGAAATAATGGGGCAAATGCTTTTTCTTAGAGAAATACCCTTTCTCATCTTCAGATGAAAGTAAGGGTGTGGTTGTAGATTCCTTTTCTCCATTGAAGGAATTACTGACTGGTTCCCAATGACTTGATTTTTTGCAAGACAGGGCACATGTAACTATGGAGACATTGTGCAAAATTGTTGGACAGCCAAGATTAAAGAAAGATGTGTCCACATTAGTGATGTGGACATTGTCAGTGAAGATCTGAATTCAGTACTGTAAACTGTCTAGATAAGTGTTGTCAGAGAAAGATGAGATCTGTGTGAACTGAAGGAGTTGAGAATTTTTCTTTTTTTAATGGGAAAGAAGTCAGGAGGGTATTCTGAAAACCTTTGAATCTTGTACTCAGTGTTTCATCCATGATTTAATGCATTATATTCCAGTGGCTCATGTACTGCGTGAATGACACCATTCATTTCTAATTGGTGTGTATGCATGGTCTCCCCAGTTGAGGCTGTGAGCATTCAAGGCCAGGGCCACATCTTCTACTTTTTATTTTTTCATTTTTTTTGCCCCTCATGCAGGGTCAAGTAAGCTGCTTACTCTGTGGGTGAGGACCTTTAAAGAAATCCAAGATTTTAGTGCGCTGCTCTGTTAAGGAACTCTTAAGGAAAGATTTTGGATACGTTGGTCATTTTATTTAAGAGAGATTTCATGCCTTTGACCTTACTATGCAAGTAGAACCTGCAAATATAAGATAATTTTGAGTTAGTCCTAAAATGATTACTTTTTTTTTGCCTATAAAGAAAACTATCTTTTAAGTCAACAAGATTTTAATGGTCAAAGGATGAAAGTAACATCAAGTGCTTTTCGTAGTATATAGTTTCAGAATATAATCTTAAAATTCTAATAAAAAAATAACCATTTCATTTTATTTTCTCCTCAGAGTTTCATTTTGGTGATTGTTTTTAGAGAAGAACACTGAACTTTGAAAAAAATGTTAGACACTATAGGTAAGACCCATTCCTTTCTGACTATTTTTATAAGAATCAAAATAGTGGGATGTTTGAAATATAGTATGTTCTAAGTAGCAGGATTCTTTCTACTGTAACTTAGTTTTTAAAAGTTTTTATCTACTAGCATTATACCAGGGTAATGTGTTTCTATATTTGGACAGTTTCATCTGAAGTGCTGTAAAAAACATCATTTATAAGTAAAAGTTAAAAGCATATGAGATGTTTTACTAATTATGAGTTTTATGCTTAATGTAAATCCAGTTCTCATGTGCAAACCTAATGCTGGCTAATGTTTGTTTCTGAATTGCACCAGAAAGTTTAACAGTGTTTTTAATACTGAAAAAGATCATTGCTTATGTCATACTTTTACTTTATAGCAGGTGAAATACTACTGAGCTCTTTCTTTTAAGTTGCTAAAAGATAACAATAACATAAACTTAGGCTGACAAACTTCAGTGATGATTTAAGGCAGTTTAAATTCTACATGAGATAATTAAGTTGAGATATTCAGATTTCCCCAGATCATGTGTTATTTTTTCCCCACACTGCTCTTTAGCTTTAGAGAAACTTGTTTGTGGAACTATTAGGAGTGTCATGTATGATACACTCAGTCCTTATTGTCCCTCATCTGACACCACAGTCCTCACCTATTGCAGGGAACCCCTTAGGTATGATTATTGGAAGGTATCTGGATTTCTGTCTAGCACCTTGATGAGTGCAGGTGGTGTCTTGAGAGCTGTGTGTTTTGAGGGGTAGGGTGAGAGTAGGTGGCAGGAAAAGGAGCTGTTTCTGTGCTCATGAGGATCATTAGTGTGACTTTTGTTCCTGGTATTATGCCTGTAATGAAAATGCATGGAACGCAGTGCAATATACAGGCCTCTTATTATAAAAAAAAAAGAAAAGAAAATGCATGGGTGTACACTGTCGTCATCACTGATTTTATACCAATGTCCCACACCATAAAGACTGCTAGTCTACATAGGAAACTTCCTCAGAAGAAAGTGTAAGGCAAAGGGGAAATGTAAAATCATTTAAATTGTTTATTTTTAATCTTTATTCTGTAAGGTAACACTGAGCTGCAAACCTCCCAAGAAGTCACAGGGGAATTAATACTAGATTTTTATTCTGAGATACCATGGGAAATATGACCCAGAATAAAGCCCTCATGTGTATATTATTATTTGCTTTTAAAATTCTGGATATGAGTAAATATTGTTTAAATTTATGTTTGTGAACTCATGGTCAACATTAATTCATGTTTTAATTCCCCAGTTTCTGTGTAATTCCACATTTAATGTTATAGAAAGTGTCTCTGGTGATAACTCCCACTCTTTTTGATTACTATGATATGGCAAATGTATTTTAATAGATAAATTTGTTGTCGTCATGAATCTGCTAAGACATATATCTGAATAGTTATATGTCTCTCCATTTATAAAAAGTAAATTTGGCTTCACATATGAGATAAAAGAGAGCAAAGGGGTGAGAGAGACTGTGTGTATGTCTTTTAGGGAGATGTTTTTAATATTTTTGGTAGAAACTCATTATCTGGAACATGCATGTAAGGTGCTAGGATTATCATTATTATTACTGTATTATTATTGTATTATTTATTAGTATTAGGATTATTCAAAATATCTGTTTTGCAGCTTTGTGCCTGATACATTACGTGATCAATTAATATTTGAATTATATTAATTGTAAATTAATTATGCATTTGTAGATTTGCTATTTAAATTTTGAGAAAAACATTTGAAGTATTAAAAGTCCTGTTTTTGAAGGAATATGCATTATGGCAATGTACTTTCAAGTACATTCTCAAGTATAGAATGCTTTGCTCTTAATATATGAAATTGTCATATTTGGTTGTTATGACATCCACATTCACTTGTTTGTGAGTTAGTTATATTTCTGATGTTACATGTAAATAAAATTTTTAAAAGATGAAAATACCAGCATTTTCAAGATCACAGAGCATTTAGTCTTCAATAGTTTTTATTAAAAAGTTTAAATAGCTGGCATTAGAACTCAAATGCACTTTATCTGAATTAGTTTCTGTACTGTACAATTCGTTGTGTGTAGCATACACTATAACCAGTTCCTTGCTTCCAAACAAACTCTTACAAGAGACTTTAAGGTTTGAGGGACATATTTATAGTGACATGTTTTAGTCTCTCTTTTTTTTCCTGAGTCAATATTATGTTCTCAAAAGGAATAGTTTTAGGATTTCTATAAGCATGGGTTAATGTGTGTGTGTGTGTGTATGTGTTTGAATCCTGTTACTGACCAATGCTGCTCTTTGGTATAGACAAAAACCGGGCCTTGCAGGCAGCCGAGCGCTTGCAAGCCAAGCTGCGAGAGCGTGGGGATGTGGCCAATGAAGACAAGCTGAACCTCCTGAAGTCAGTCTTGCAGAGCCCACTTTTCAGTCAGATTCTGAGCCTTCAGACTTCCATGCAGCAGCTGAAAGACCAGGTAGGACATGGTTCACTCAAAGCAGGTGTTCAGGGCATTGCATCGATCTTGGAAAAGGTTTGTGTTGTTCTGAAAGGCTGATTGTTGTATATGTTAATGAATAGTTAATAAAGTCATTTAAGCTTCCAAATGAGACATTCAGATTCACTGTGCCTTTCCCCCCCTAGTTATTTTTGTAATGGCTGTTGCTGTATACTGTAGATGATATGACATTGTGTTGAAAGCTGTGTGAATGCTAAAGAATGAGCCCTTACAGGAGAAGGGGATAATAAAATATGTTTAGGGTGGATGGCTGTAGACTTGGTTTCCATCATCACCACAGCTCATTGTTCGTGTGGTCTTGCTCTTTCAGATTCAGACATTCAGTACACTCACAAGATTTCAGATAAGCCTGGATTTGCATGTGTAATCATGTGTGAGGAAGGGAAATCACCTCTATTTTGACAGTAAGAGGAATAATTACATTGTCATCAGTTAGAAGGATTGCAATTCTCACTTCTTAACGGAGTGTAAGTAGCAATTCTTTCCATGACAGCATCAGATGGTGATAAACATTACAACTTCTAAATGTAACACAGTGTTTTTTCTGTAAAAATTATGAGCATTAAGAAGTCCTAGCATTTATATTAAAACCGAAGCATATCACAATGACAGAATGAAAATCAAAGTCAGATGTTCTTTGAACTTACTTAATTTAATCACTATTTCTCAGGTTTTTAAAAAGTATATTTTTAAAATGGTTGTTATCATGACAAGGTTTGAAGTCAGTCTTTGCCTCCAATCCAGGCTAATTCCCATTCTAATATTTTTAGCATTACTTTAGTGGTAATGGATGACTTGCTAGCATATATTCTGCCTTAAAAGGTTAAAAATGAACCTCGAAGACTAGTTCTATAATTTAGTGAAAGAACAGCTCCAATTAAAAAACCTCAAAAATGTGCCAAATGCAAAAAGAACAAATAGTAGCAATAGAGAAGGAATTTGTTTAATGTCACAAAACTTCATAATTGTAGACATTTTGGTAGCCAAAAAATTAAATCAAGAAGAATGTTTAAAAATATTTTTCTCTAGTGAATTTTCTACTTAATGATTTCTAAAGTCATTATCATGAATTAAGTAGATGTGCCCCCGGCCAGCGTGGCTCAGCAGTTGAGCATATTCCTATGATCCAGGAGGTCACAGTTCGATTCCCGGTCAGGGCACATGCCCGGGTTTTCTGATTGATCCCCAGCAGGGGGCTTGCAGGAGGCATCGAGTCAATGACTCTCTCTCATCATTGATGTTTCTATCTCTCCCTCCCTCCCTTTCCCTTCCTCTCTCTCTGAAATCAATAAAAATATTTTTAAAAAAAGGAAGAAGAAGAGATGCATTTGTTACATGTAGTTATATTTGTCCTCTTTGCAAGTTATTGAAAAGATTGGTTTTAAATACTCATCTTCAGAATGGTTGGGCAAGGTTTTGGAGAAACCGGTATCCGGAATATAAGTGTGATTATGATATGGAAAACTGGTTTTTCGGAGATTGTGGAGTTGAGCAGATGTCTTCTCCCCTTATTGTATATGAAGATATGATTAGAATGAGAGGACCAGTTGAAACAAAAAGTACTAGTAAGTAAGTGAGGAAATACCACTAGTTCAATGAGATAACTGTCAAAATACCCCTTCTAGTCAGCCTTATGTAAGTGGAATAGCATGTCCACTTACCAGGTCTGCTGAAGGGAGGGGAGAAATAGTCCTACTTGTTGTTGAGATTGTTTTACCATTTCCAAGTAGAAGTAGGCTATGGACTCCAAAACTGTTTGGGCCCCACGTGATTCAGCTGCAACCTCCTTGGAAATGTGTGGAGCATAATATCATCAAGTGTCATTGTCTGTGACTAAGTACAGTGTGATGTTGTGTTAATGACAGATGCTGATATATTTCAGGACTAAGTAAGCTGTGAGGTTGATGGATTCTATAGGCATGTCTTATATGCCTTTGGACTTCTGGGTCTTTGGTCACCTGTTCAAGTATTGAAAGGGACCAAGGAAACCATGTGGCCCTCACTCGGCTTATCACAACAGCTTAGAGAGGTTGAGTTACTAGAACTAAAACATGATTTTCTTGACCTTGCAAGGCACAACCCTTTCCCTTTTTTGACTGTGCAGCCTGTCTCATTATTTTCCCCCTGAAGGCAGAAACTTGGTACTTAACTAATAAAACTTCAATTTCTGTTAAAACCACTGCTAACTTCTCAGTTGTTCTGAATCTTCACTTTAGTCTCCATTTTACTAATTTAATTTCATTTGTTTATTGAACCAGATTTTTCTTCTTGTATGACTAGAGTAAAATTTCAAAAACTTGTATTATTTTGTTTTAAAATTTAAACAAAAATAATCTAAACTTTATGTTAGAGTTAAATTTTCCATATAGTTTACCAACTGGTAATTTATTAATATTTATAGTTTAATATTTAATTAGTACACGTAAGGAATGAAATTTTTTGTGAGTTGAAACCAGTAGCTACGCAAATCTGCTCAATGGCTAGCTTTTGTTTATTACCTTATATACCTAAATTATTTTTTCAGGTGTATAATTGTATATGCACAATAGCGGCAAGTTTCTGTCACCATCGTTTTTAGTACTATTAATATATTTGACCCCTTTGATTTTTCTCCAGCATAATTCTCCTGTCTTTTAAAAAGCAAAGGGAGTGAATAATTGAAAAACCCAGGGTATATGCAGCCTGTTGGAGACATGATCATGTTGTTGCTTTAATGACAGATGCCGACATGCCACGTTGAATTAAGCCTACTATTTTTCCCCCTCAGATCCTCCTCATTACTTCTATTCAATAATGTTTAATTTTTCTAATTTGCTTCTTCAGTATTAAGGCTGCCCTTAGATATCAAACTGTTTCCCTTTGGCAAATTAAACACTTGACAGGTGTGTAACTGGGAGTGCAAAAAAAGCCATGCCCTGAAGGGATGTGCTATTTAAATATTGTCAGAAATATTAACAGGTCTGAGAGTATAATTGATGCCTCTGTTTAACTCCGCCACATTGTGTATTGTTCTAACCGCCAGCTAAAAGGATGTGTGCTATTAAACCTGAATAATCTCTAATGGTTCCAGTTTATTTCCTACCGCATGATTCCTGTTAAGTGAAGAGAAGGCAAAAAGAGAAATGGGACTGTGTGTCAATGATCTGTCAAGTGCAAATTCTCCAGTAGTGTCCTCCCTGTCACCTAGCCATCACAGCTAATAACTGCAGGGCTCAGTGCCTATGCATGACAAAAATCCAACCATTGAGGGGCAAATAAACATGTTAGCAGTTTGATAATGGAAACTTGTCAGCCATGAGGAAATTGGATTTGCATATTTATTCTATGGTTTCTCCAGTCCAGTATAGGTGTGTGCGACTTTCCTGATGAATTAATTGCCTTACCTTATGAATTGACCACAGGCATTAAATCAAACATCTTTTTACCTTGAGTCACTGTAGGAAAACTGGATTAAAATTATTAATTTCAATAGAAATTTGGGACTAATATTTAAAGATTTATATTATTGAGTTGTTGTTGCTGTTTTTAAGCTATGGCAACAGAGACCAATTGTAAGGTTGAAGAAATGATGTGGGTAGCTCAGGTTACAAGAGCTGCTGATACAGGAAACCAGCCCCCAGGCTTTGAATATTCTAGAGTGCTCTCTTTGCAGTATTTCCAGATTATTTCTCTTATTTTGTTATTGTTCTTGTTGTTTGATATTTCCAGGCTACTACTTCATTCAGCTCTCTCCCAGAAATGTCTTGGCTCATATATATATCATCTAGATGCATAATGTATATTCACACAAAATTAAGCCAGATTTTTCTAAGTTTTTCCTTGGAAATTTTGACATCTCTCGAAATAACTGGAGAGATACTAACCTAACATAAAATCAGATCGGAAATTACTCTTCAGTGTTGATGAATGTTGTTATATTCTTTTTCATTTTTATTCTTGAAAAATGGTCTTCATGGTATAAAATTTGGGTTTATATTTCTATGTTTCTAAGTTTTACATTAGCTTGGTTTATATTTCTTTTTAATTTATTTATTTTTAAATATATCTATTGATTTCAGAGAGAGGAGAGGGAGAGAGAGAGAGAGAAACATCAATGATGAGAGAGTCATTGATCGGCTGCCTCCTGCAAGCCCCTGACTGGGGATCGAGCCTGCAACCCGGGCATATGCCCTGACCGGGAATCGAACCCCGAGCACCTGGATCCAAGGCGGACGCTCAACCGCTGAGCCACGCCCGGCCGGGATATTTCTGTGTTTCTGAGTTTTACTATTCACATTCCAAAAACTATTTGACACAGCTTCTGATGGCAAAACACATTGACTAATAGGTGATTCAAAGATAAATCTAAACAAAGATCAAATAAAAAGAACAGAACTAGATATTCCTAGGACCTTGGGTTACTAAAATTGAGTATATAATTTAATATGCATTTCCCAGAAGCAAAGGCAAAACAAAAAATAAAACAACAACAGGAAAAACTGAAGGATTATATATTGCTCAGTTTGAGAAGTCGTTTAGTGAGCCAAACTTTCTCTTGACAATGGGAGGGTTATCTCGTGGATGCTTTTATAAAAGAAGACTCATAATTCTTTATTAATAGACCTTTACTGAAGCCCTAAAAATCAATAAAAATACAATGAATAAATAAGATGGAGGTTCTCACTATCTAGAGGGGAAAACAGAACATATATATCTCATGTAATTAAAAAGAAAAACAAGAAGGTGGGTGGCATGAGAGGAAGGAATTACTAACTTTCACCTGAAGAAAAGTTCACACTGGAGATGACATGTAAGATGGGTATTGCAAAATGAGGAGAAATTTTCTGCAGAGATGTGGGAGGAAATTATTTCAGGTGGTGATAATGTTTACGTAGGTATAGAGCAGTTCTCAGCTGGGTGTGATTTTACGTTCTCCCTTCCTAGGGACATTTGGCAATGTCTGGAGACATTTTTGATTG